TTGGCATGGGTGGGCAAAGCTGCCCCTTCCTGGAAGCCGCTTCCTTCTCTGCCTAGTTGCCTGCGAACACCGCGAGGTTTCAGCTCAGGGTGTGCAGGGCGGGCAGGCAGGTCTGTTTCCTGGGATCATGGGAAGGGGGACCAGTTTGGTCTCGGGGAAGGTTGTCAGTCTGGGAGGAGGGAGACCCTGGGGAGGCGGCCCAGTAAGGATCAAATGGTGACGGGAAGGAAGAAGAGGCAGGAGAAATATTTCCAGAGGGGAATTTGAAGGCGACGGACGGGTGGCTGGGTAGAAGTCACCGCTTCCTTTGCCCCTCAGTGCAACTGCTCTGGTGTCTCACCCACAAGGTGCTCTCACCCCACCGGGGGCAGGTCACAGAGACAGGAAAACGGACAGCCTTTGCATGCTGGGCAGTTGGGTTAAAAAGCAGTCACACCAATTTGGGGCCTATTGTGGACTCCCCACACCACACCGTCCTCACCTCCAGGACCCAAGGGAGGTTGCCCCTGGCTCCTTCAGGAAGGGAAGGGGTGCAGTGGGGAGCTCCCTGAGTTGACCTCCGAGGGAAGGTTATGGGAGCGTTTCCCCGTGGGATAGGGACCCACAGAGCCCGCAGAATTTTCTATGTGGAACTCAAATGTGGCGAAGGCAGTGAGAAACTGAGCCCCCAAAGATTCGGGAGCCTTTGCTTTGGTTTCTGAAGTCGAAGCTGTTGGCAGGTGTGGGTTGGGAGCTGCAAAATCTGTCCAACAGGGAAGGTGCACCCAGCATGGGGTGCCCTGCCCGGCACGTGACCCGCATAGCTGGCACTCGGTGAACACGCAGCTTCCGAGGCCTCCTATCAGAGCTCCTAGCTGCCAGTCGTGCGGGGATGGGGTTCAGGAAGCCCTCTCTCCCCAAAGCTAAGTGTTGGAGGCGGGTGTGTGAGACGCACAGACAGCACAGGGGTCGGGCCATTTCTGCTTTTAGAATACTGGTGCATTTTTTATTAAAGAAGAGAATAAAGCATTTGCAAATATAATCTTTAATATGTTTTAATGGAGGAAGGGCCCATGAAGGCAAAAGCACCAAGACCCCACGAAAGTCACATGCAGCCCTGGCCCCTGTTCTGCCTCCCACTCCCAGTGCCGGCCTCCCTGGGGAAGGGTCACATCTCACCCTCGCCAGGGCCATGCTGGTCACCACAAACATGTTGGGGACTTTGC